ACTCCGGTGTTCTATCGAAAGCTCACTGTACAGAGCTCCAGTGTTTCTGAGCACCAGAGGTAGTTAGAGATCTCAATGAGTTGGAGCTTTCGATAGAACACCGGATCCTCCGCCCACCTCAGCTGCCATAGGCTGGGAGGAAGACTGCAGAGCTGCTACTGGCTGGAAGGACAGCACGGGAGAAGCAGGACACCTGGGACATGGAGGATACATTGCTTTTTTTCTGCATTACACTGCTGGCCTCTGTACTCTGCATCACACCACTGGCCTCTGCACTCTGCATTGTTACTGATCTCTGTTCTCTGTGTCACACCACTGACCTGGCGGAGTTAAGGGCAGGGCACGGTAGGGGTCAGGTGGGGCGACTGGTGGCGAGTAACTCTTAAGGCCTGGCTAGTAGCTCAGGACTTGAAATTTTGAGCTCTGCAATAGGTTACATACAAGGTATAATTAAAGGGAAACTATAATGGTTTAGGGCACTGTCGGTCAACTTTCTTGATCTATGAGGCCTCAAGTACAGCCCCTGACATCACCAAAAGGGTCGCACATAATATTCAGTAAATGTGATGCTTCTGAAAGCTGCTGCAGGCTGCTAACTGGCCACTGGAGATGGTTAGAGACTATGGGCATGCTACAATATAGGGTCAGAAACTACAGACATGCTACAGGAGATGGTCAGAGACTGCAAACATGACTTAAAGTGACATTAAACCCTCAGATTTTTTAACATAAACCAATACTGTAATGTGCGCCTTACTGTATTCCATGGTTGTTTCCCTTCTCTTTGCTGCTCTTCCTTTTAAATCTGTACTCATGCTGGGCAGAACGTCTGTTTTGCAGCAGACTGCCTTGTCTCTGAAATGGATACATGGTGTCTGTGTGTAGGCTCACAACCTGAGCCAGCACTACAGGAAGAGGCCCTGAACTGAAAGGGGAAGTTCTCCCCAAGCATGAGAAGACATGAGGATTTAAAAGGAAGAGCAGCAAAGAGAAGGGAAACAACCATGGATTACAGTAAGGCGCACATTACAGTATTGGTTTATGTTAAAAAATCTGAGGGTTTAATGTCACTTTAAGAGTTGTTGGAGACTGGGGATGTGTTTCCAGATACAATAATAGGCTAAAGACACATTATATGAGACTGCAAGAAATCACTGCTATCCCAGGCTCCTTGCTTCATTTGTAGTCCCTAAAACCTCCTTTAAAACAATTACTTGTATGCTTTGGGGTTTATATAAACTTTAAAATAAATGTTGACCACTTGTCTCCTGGGATTTCTCCAGCCATGATTACTACAAGATGACAAAGCCATGTCAGATCACGGTGACACCAACCTGAGATCTCCGCTGTGTTTCCGCATGTGTACATTCAGGTAATGTTTCCACTTGGTGATGTATCCGCATTCCGTACACATGTAGTTCTTGTTCGTGGAATGCGTCAGCATGTGTTTAGATAGGTAGCTCAAGTCCCGACACATGAAGTCGCACTGGCTGCATTTGTGAGGCTTCTCTCCTGGCACATTGGAAACATAAGAAATTTTAGATTATCCACTCACTGTAATGAAGCATTGTAAACCATTTCTTTTACTATGTATGTTCATTTTAAAAGTTTTCAATAAAAATATTGAGACAGAAATGTTAGATTATAGTGGATGCGTATCATATGTTCATCGCGGGTTTAATTTACTCGTAACAGATCATTACAAGGCTTCTGTCCCAATGACCACACAGGAAGTGAGGCAAGATCTCTTCAGTGTGGACAGAGACATTTAAAACCTGGGTAAGGTCCTAAACTTTCTCCACTCTTACTCTATATAAAAAAGGTTTAACCAAAATTACAAACCCCCCTATTGTAAGGTATCACGAGAACCCCCCTTCCCAAATCGGTGAGTCCATGGCAGCCTGGGCTCAGAGGGAGTGGGCTCAATGAAGCTCACTCTCATCTCTCCCAGAAGACTGGTGACATCGAGTGGCGGAAAGGAGTTTTTTTAGGGGGGCACCTCGGTTTATTTTGCTTGTTTTTGTATTAGCTACTCATTTTAATTTTTTTTTTAAGGTGGAATTCTGCTTTAAGTTCAACATAACCCCTAAACCTTAAAAGTGAACCTGACACAACCTAAACAATTGATTGGGTAGGGCAATGATTGCTATGGAGCCCTTGTGTCCTCAGCCCAATGCAAACTCCACTTTTGGCCAAGTTAAGCCTAAGTGCTTCCCCTCTAAGTGGCTAATGGAGATCTGGGATTTAATACTTGAATGACAGGGGACAGGACTTTATCTCAACACAGCCAATAGTAGAAGTACAGTCTGGGCCTAGGACCCAAGGGGCTCCACAGCGATCGATATGAAAACTATTACAAGCATCACAAGGTCTCTACACTTTAGCACTTCTCTGATCTTTAATAAGATTACTTCTTTAATACTAAATTAATACCTCAGTAGGAACATAAAATGAAATGATCATCTACAGCAGGAGTAGGCAAACTCCGGCCCTCCAGCTGAGGTGAAACTACAATACCCACCATACATGGGAGCCATAGCTGTGGCTGTCAGAGTCTTGCAATGCCTAATGGGATTTGTAGTTGCACCACAGCTGAAGAACTGCAGTTTGCCTACCCCTGCTCTACAGCATTCCTATGCATTATATTACCTGTGTGTAATAACTTGTGTCGTATCAGTACCCTCTTGTGGGCAGTAGCAAAATCACATTCTCCACAGCGATGAATCTTCTCATTGGCATGCATCTTGCCCACGTGGTCAGCATATTCCACCGGGTTAAAACTCTTATAAGGACAGAAGCGACACACCAGCTCTTCCTTGCCCGGGTGCCCGCGTTTCTTGTGCTTGCGGAAGGTGTGTTTGTTGGAACAGACAAAGTCGCAATCTTGGCAGTGAAAGGCATAATGGTTCTTGCGATGCTCCTCCATCTCCTCACGGGACTTGAAGAGCATGGAGCAAGCATGGTACCTGCATTCTACAGCATGGATGCCATGAGACTCCTTCACATGCCGCAGAAACTCTTTGCGGTCGGACACGGCCTGATCGCATCCGGGGTCAAAGCAAAACAGCAACGTCTGCTCGGGTTTGTGTCCTTTCATGTGATCCTTCAGAGCCTGGCTCAGTTTAAACGTCTCCTGGCACACTGGACAGGAGTAGGTGTCCGTATAAAAGTTAGACACCCCCTCGTGAATGCTTGCCATGTGACGATTGAGAGCGTTCTTTTCCACAGAGCTGTAGTCGCACAATGTGCAGCGATGGGCCTTTTCGCCCGACTCTCTCATCATGTGGATCTTCAGCTTACTGCGGCTGGTGAAGAATTTACTGCAGTTTGGGCATTGCAGGTTCGGGTCAGGGAAGTGCAGGTGGAGGTGGTCAGCCAGGTGAGTCCTCTTCTTAAAGCAGCGCTTACATTCGGGGCACATGTGGGTCTTAAACAAGTGCTCTTCACCATTCTCTACATCTCCTAAATATTGAGAAAGTGTTGGCAATAAATACACATTAAGAAAATAACTTTAACTGTATCTTAAAAATGACAACAAAAGCCCCTTTAAAAATGTTTAGGAATAGCAATCTACAAACAGATCCTTATACACTGAGTGGCCAGATTATTATGACCACCCCATCAGTACTTCGTTGGGCCGCCTCGTGACTCCACGAGATGGTGAAAGGTGATGCGAGGAATCTGACACGGCACTGTTGCCCTTCTGTTGTCTTGTACCAGTCTTGCCCCTCCCCCGTTCTGCCCTAACATTGACTAGTCGCTGACGGCCACAATTCGCACGTTCAGACCCAGATTTTCGGCTGACAGTCCGGTCTTTAAACACTTTAACAATGAGCTGCTCTTGAACATGTAACGAATTCTGCTGTTTTGCTGATACTCGCTCCATGGCTCCGAGCGCCAACAATCATCCCACGTTCCAAGGCTGTTAAATCGCGTTGTTTCCCCGTATCTTCAGAAAAAAAAATCACTTCTACTGTCGTGGTAAACAACCGGCTTCCCTATTTATAATGGTCTGGCCCTCTAGCAACTTCAGCGCAAAATTATAGCTAATTTGCCTACACACGTCAGGCGGTCATAATAATCTGGCCACTCAGTGTAGATAATTGATTTTATTCTTTGCATACCTTATTTTATTTTTCCTCCCCATTTTTCTCACGGTGGCCATTTTCACTAAGGGTAGATTAATCCATCTCCCTTTACTTCCTGGAACTCTTGGCCTGCAAAATGTGACACTGCACATCGTCTCAGGGGGAAAAAAACGCCCTTCCCTGAAACTTTGGGAGATTATGCCGTTTACAGATAAGATTTCCCAGCAATGTACTGGTGATGTAACCCTTCCCATGCTGCATCTGTGGCCAAGAATACATCACTAATGCCCAAGAGGACCAGGAAGTGGAAAAACAGTAATTGGAAGTACAAGCAAAAAATGTTTAATGAACGTAAGAGGATTTCATATCAGCAAGTTGATGTGATGTTTAGTGAAAGGTCTGCTTTAAGTATATGTAACCTGGGGGGGAAAAAACCCCAGCCCTATCATAATTCAGCATTTTACTTTTTGCCCATTTCCCATGTTTAATCCACACCCATTTACATGTGTTGCATTAAAAATGTCATTAGAACATAAATAAAGTGGGAAAAGAGGAACCAGGGAAGGTAAACTATATGCAGCTATATCTTGAACTTTATCAAGAAAAGATTTGGTAACTCTCCAGCGAAGTGTTTACATTTCCATAGCCCCCCCCCCC